TAGAGCGTAAGTAAGAAATGGGAAGAACAAGCACAATTGCTAGAACAGATTTTTTTATTTTCAATCGATAAACTGTTCTTCTTCTGCGCTGGAAGAGAACTTAATAATAACAAGAGTCCAACATTCCCTAACCTCTAATAAAAGACTAATAATTATTTAAAGTCCCAAAATAATAATAAGGTCAAGTAAAATAAAAACTAGTAATAAAAGCTAGATACGAAGACGATCGTATTTATTCAAAAACGCTATCGCGGTCTCGTCTCCATCATATGGAAACCAAAGTTTTCCGTTAAATTGTCTTTCATCATGGGCACCACATTGTTGTCGACTTCGACAACAATATTACGATAACCCAAATCCCAGACTATCATCAGACATTGGTAGAGGCCCCATAATTCCGCTCTCGTAATAGTACAAAGCCCAATGTTCATCACAAAGCCCCCAACCATCTACCATGGGCGTCACAAACCAACCCTCGACAGACGCCAGTGGCGAAACTATGTTGGGGTCGGGAGAGGCGCCGACCCCTCCAAAAAAAAAAATGTAAACTAGGGGTGGAGGATTTTGCTGGAACTGGAAGATTTTATTTTGAGCGCGCACGTTGGGCCTTCCCCGGTTTCATGCGGTACATACATGGCCGGAGGGGCGCCACCAATTTTGTCGTGAAATTTTTTTTAAAGGCAAATTGGGCCTGCTCGAAACGGGATCCTGGTTTCGGGACAAGTATAACAGCAGCAGAATTTAATTTTTTTTTCATTTTTATTATATTTTGAGTTGGTTAATTAGCCAACTTGCGGTGTACCGAGGGGACTCAAAAACCGAGTCGATCATTACCGAAAAATACTTTTATGAAAGTACGGGAAGCGGAGAGTGCGTTGGTGGCGTCGCTTTATGATTTTAAGGTCCCGACCATTTATTTTGGGTAGCCCGAAGTTGATAGAAAAATGGCAGTGGCGGTGACTTTATTGTCATTTTCATGTCTAAACTTCGGGTAACCGTCGGCCCTCGTTAGGCGTGCTGAAAATTAGCGGGAGTGCTTTCTTGAAAGCATGAGAACAGTAGAAGCCGTTCGTAAAATTTATTTCACGTTTCGAAGTTTCGAGCATTTATTTTGAGAAGCTCGAAGTCGAGTGCGCATAATAAAAGAATAAAAAACCGTTTTGCGGGGTTCCGTAAGGTTGCGTGTGACCTCGGTTTAACGAGAATCGAGTTGGAGCGTGTAGACAATTCAAGCACAATTCCATACGGATAAATTTCGCATTTTTCGGAGTTCCGAGCATTTATTATGAGAGTTTCAATTTCTGCGTTAAATAGTATCAAAATGAGCAAATTTGTCTATGACGAGTTCGATCGTTCGAGGCTTCGTTTTCTCAAATTTTTCAGCTTTTCGTCTATTCGAAAGGAGGTATTTATTATTATAATTGAGCCCGAGATTTTAATTAGTATAAATTCGAGTATTTTTCAAGTTAAAACAATTCAGTTTAAGTATACCAGTTTAATTCCGGACTTAGTTTGATTTTTAGAAAAATCTCTAGCGTATTCTTTTATATCTTGCAAAAATTTTTTAGAGCATCCACAAAAGCCCTTTGAGCGCCCTTCCGATGCCGGAATGGAGATGGTGCGCCGCGAAATGGCCGAAATGGGGGTGGTGCGCCGTGGCAAATTGGGCCCTCCCCAGGACGAGCTGAAGTTAATCTCCTCTTGAGCTCCTGAAAGCTCGCCTCACAACGATCAGTCCACTCGAACTTCACAGACTTCCTCGTCAGCTGGGATAATGGGAGGGCTATTTTAGAAAAGCCCTCGATGAACCTGCGATAGTAGCCAGCTAAACCGAGAAAACTACGAACCTCGGACGGACTCTTCGGTGTCGACCAGTTCTGAACAGCTGAGACCTTGGAAGGATCCACCTCGATACCTGCCTGCATAATAACATGACCCAGAAAGGCTACTCGCTGGAGCCAGAACTCGCATTTGGAGAATTTAGCGTACAACTTTTTTCGTCTGAGAGTTTCGAGGACCACCCTCAGATGCTCCTCGTGCTCCTTCTGGCTCTTCGAGTAGATAAGAATATCGTCAATAAAGACAATAAAAAACTTATCGAGGTAATTGCCATCCCAGACGAGATGAAGAATGAACCATCCGTGTTAATTTTGACAACACCATCTCTAGGGGTTCCAGCAAATGAAAGTAACTTCCCCCCCCACCCCGAGGCCACCAAGAAAGTGTTAGTTACTTAAACATTGGAAAAAGTCGCGGTTACATAGCATCCTTTTTACGAACGATATCATCAATTGCCTTTCGAGACGACCATTCTCCGGCGAGATCCCAAGATGGAGTCTTTTGCCGGCGACTCGGTTTTCACCTCCAATTGGGATTACTTTGTTTTTCTTCTTCTTCGTCCTATTCTCGCTGTTGTCTTTAGCCTCTCCGTGCTGTTCTCCGGTGAACCCTTCTCTCTCTCTCTCTCTCTCTCTCTCTCTCTCGATCTCTTGATCTATATGGTTTGTGTTTAAGTCAATTGTTTCAATATTTTACTGTGTTTCTTGATCTGTGTTGTGAAATTTCACCTGCAAGCTTGCCTCTTTTGCTGTATGACTCTTGGCCTGGGATATTGAATATTAATTATTAGGTCTGCTTTTTTTAGAGTAATTGTGTTCAAATTTTCTCATTTTTGTTGGAAAGTAAATTGAAGTGAACCAATTCGCATGAGTCTTTTCAGATGAGTGTATTTATTTATCTTTTCTTCTTCAATTGGTGGGTTTTGGTGTAACTTGGACTGATATTTGAACATGGAGTCTTGATGAAACAGCTCTCAGGACTTTTTTGAGCCTTTTCGAATCTTTTGTGGTCGAACGATAATCTGATTTTGTTTCCTCGGCATGCGATTGGTGTGTTTGTTTAGGCTGGTTCTTGGCATGGAAGCTGGTTCTGGTTCATGTGCCCCTGGTGCAGGAGATATTTGGTCTGAGGAAAAAACCCGTCAAGCCGAAGCCAGCTGGTAGAAGAAGATTCACTCAATTTTACAACAGTGTTAATGTCCAAAATCCCATATTGTGGTAAAAATCCTCGAATGCAGTCGTTTTTATCATGTGTTTCAGTTGAATTGATGAATTTGCTCAAGTATTTGGAATTTTTAATAGTGTAAAATAGTTAGTTGGAGTGTTCTTGTTTAGAGTTAGAGAATGAATGGTGCTTATGACTTTATGAAAAGTTAGTACCTTGAGTTTGAAGTATTATATATATTTTACGGGTGGAAAATATCACCGGAAGAACAATTCTCTCAGTCGTGCCTAAGAAAATTGTATGTGTCACCAAATTAGTTGATACAGTTAGTTATCAGTTATCAGTTATCAGCTTGCTTTCTGGGTAAAGTTGGGACAACATTTGCTTTTCGCCTTATGAGTCACACAGTATGAGATAAAAATGGTTTTCACAAGAAACGGCTACCTAAAAGTGGAAGGAAAAACAAACTCAACATAAAGACTGATTAAAATTTTAAAGTCACACCAAGCTGGTGCAATGCTCATGCTCTTTAATTATGATGACTTTGACTGTAGGATAATGTTCTGATAGTCGAGATATGTTTTGATGATCTTTATGAAAATTCGTCTGAAAATTTGTGAACTAGATATGCTGTCTAATGTGTTAAGTGCTTGCATTGACGATTTTATTTTTCTCTTGCTAGAATTCAGAATGTCACAACAGATTGAGTTACGGTCGATGAAGGCATTGGGCGTAATTTTGTGACGGTAACCTAATGATCGCCACAAGAGGAGGACTGAAGCCATTGAAGCTATGGCTGAGCAGCATTTCTCTGTACAAAATATGTGCTTGTTGATGTTTGTAAACGGCGCTAGACGCTTTTCCTTGTACAAACATTTCCATTGTCTATTTTTTTTTTTTTTTTTTTAATTTGTGTGTAACAAAGGAATTAAGCAGTCAATATAACAAGCATGGATTTTATATTGCATTGTAGCTTTTATGGAACAGCTAAAATATAATCGTAGAATCAGTGAAAAAAAAAAACAATTATTCTACCACTAATGCATTCAATCTCCCAAATTTGTTCGATTTAAATTAATCTATATATATATAATAAGATTTACCATTTTTCAAAAATGGCAAGTCAACTTCTTGATCAAATTCAGACATTATTAATTAGTTTCCATTAATGGCAATCTTTTTTTAATTACTAATTACTTCAAATATTACATAACAATATTTATGATATTGTGTAACTATATTTTTTTATCTCATTTGAATAAGTGCAAATGTTTTCGGATAAGTGTAACTATATTTACCGTTTACGGATATTGTGCCAACTTTTAACAATATTATCAATTTTGAATAAGTGCAAATGTAATCAAGATATGAGATTTATATTCAAATGGATTTTGTAGCTGGGGATAATTCAAAAAATTTTAACAAACCAATTAGATAAGATTTGACATTAAAATAAAGAATTTATTTTTGTTACCAAAAAACATGGATGCAATTTTCAATATATATCCCATCTAAATCTCTTTTAAAAATAACAAAGTAAAAAAGTTGCATGTGGTTAAAAAAAAAAAAAAAAATCTTTAATGGAAGGTCAACACTTTTATTTATGTAGTCAAACTTTCTATTTTATGCATTTTTCAACAACCTTTTTATATTAGTATAGATCTAAATGCATATTTATCATCACATCCTATGAGCTTATGTTCAATGGTGACTAAAATGATATATTTGATGATAAAAATAAAACATAACCAATTTTGAACAAAAATTAAGATAGATAGCATATTCATAAACAATTAATAAAAAACAAACAAACCAATTTTGTGTCAAACCTGAAACACTACAATTATTATTTTAAAAAAAAATAGAAATTATTGAGGAAAAGTTTACTTTATTTGCAGTCTTATTTTTTGATTTATTTGATGGTCAACCTAATAATTGTTGTATGTATTTTTTTTTACTTGGAGAAAATTGTGAAATATGGAATATGAAAAAGGGAGAGGAGAGAGAAATTAGAAGGAATCATTAAATTATGTTTCTATCTATAAATAATTCAACTCACTATTAAGGAAGTAACATGATTCAAACTAAAAATATACTTTATTAATATAGTTGAGAATGTAAAATAATTATCTACATAAAATAAGAATGAAAAAGTTAAACTTGGAATTAAATATAATTTACATGGTTTTTAAACCCAGCCCGGAAATCGACCCGAGCAAGTCTCTAGGTCACCGGGTCACCTGTTCAACCGCCGGGTCACCGGGTCAATTGCTGAACCGAATAATTAATTTTAAAATTTTTAAAATTATTTATATAGTACTTTTGACACACACATATATATATATATATATATATATACATGTATATACGTAAAAATAACAAAAATAAATGTTTTGTAAAAAAAAATTGTACATTTAAGTGTTAATAATATTGAATCTCACAATAAATATTTACTATGTCTTTATATAAACATAGTTCTTATTTTTTATATAAAAAAATATAGAAAAAATATAATTATAGAGACCGGGTCAAGGCCGGGTTGGCTGGATTTTGATCGAGTCCATTGTTACCCAGTCCAAATAGCCCACTCGGACTGGTTTCGGCTCCGGGTCGACCGGGTTCCGGATCGACTCGCCGGTCCGGTCAGGGTCACAAAACAATGATAATTTATAATATAATTGGAAATTTAAAAAGTTGTCCAAACGTGAGACAATTTTTTGGCGACAACAATCAACATCCACGTCCGGCCCAAGTCGGCGTGTGCTCATCACAACGAGTTACTCAATAATCAAACTTATAATGTTGTGTACAATAATCAAATTTTTTATTGAGGAGCTTTTTATGATGAATGATGTTTGTATGTATTAAACTCTCATGTATCCTAATGCATGTCAAATTATAATATTCTCCAAATTTATATACCCGTGCGTCGCACGGGATACATACTAGTTCTAATTAATTAAATTAAGTTAAATTAAATACTAAATAATAATAGTAAAACTAAATCAGACCTGTCTTTTCTGGCCCAAACCAGATCTATTATATATGGGCCGGCCCGTAAGATATATAAATCAACGTTCCTTCCCCCAAAATCCTCAAGACTGATCCTCTGATCATTATACACCGCGTCATCGTTAGCTCTTGATTTTCCGGTTG